AATATAGGTACATACGACGCACGTCTGTCTCTTTAAATGTTTTTTGTTGCATTTTTTATGCCTTTATGCTCGTAAAAACAAATTTGAGATCCATGGCCAACTTTGCGAGTAATCATAAAAAAACCGGAAAAGTGCCGAAAGTTTAGGGTCGTCTAACTTTCTTATTTTAAGAGATAGAGAAAACTTATTTTAATAAAATTTCATGGCAAAATTGATATCTTTCACCTAGTGCAAACAGATTTTTAAAGCATAGTATGTACTTTCCTGCGCCCTCTACACGGACAAAAAAAAATTGTTATCTAAGCAGCCTGGGGCTACAAAAATTGCTTGTTTCTTCCTCTTTCACGCGATATACTACATGTTGCCTGTTAAAAAATGTAAACATTTTCGTGTTAACGTGTAATTTGTTATAGACACGTCAACTACAAAAAATTTAATAAATACAATGTACGTCTTTAAAGCAAAATACAGATTTTCTTTTCACATTATTATAATATTGGTTTTTACTTTAGAGAAATTGAGCCTTGAACATTGTTCTTGCACAGACAAAGTAGCTAAATGCTGCACACTGCAGATATGAAAACAATTGTGTTATCCCAGTAATGTCATGTTGTTGTAACTGTGATTTGAAAAATTATAATTTTGATTTTGAATAATAATGATGTTTTCAAATACTGAAAAGTGTAATATGTTTGTATTATCAATACAATTAGTTCAATTCTATTCAAGCACTTGCGGAATATAGAAAATCTTCGCTGATAGAAGGACAGGGCAATAAAATCAGCTTTTGTTAATAAAATNAGCAGAGAGAGCATATATTTGTGTAGAGTAAACACCAGTCGTAGAAATAAGAAATAGGACGATCAGTTACGAAAATTAACAATTTTTGGAACACCGTGTACGTATTTAATCGTTAAATCTTGTTCGCCATTGGTTTTTCTTAGTTCCAATTCTGCTCTGAGATCTTTAAGGCGTTGCTGTTGAATTGGTGTTTTATCATCGACCATTGAAAATTTTCTAGTGACAGGATTTTCGAGCAACTTTGATTTGTTTTTAAGAATGTATCTAGCATCGGACTCAGTAGGCATTACGACTTTTAACATGCGTGGAAAACGCTGGCTTGGATTTGGTTTCCCGACTCTGTAAAATGTTATCGGAAGACTCTGGCATCCAATAGTATCCAGCGTCTGTCTTATTGTTTGCCGATCGTACTCCTTTCTTGCAGATGAATCATCCCCTGTTTCTGGTACTCCTCTAATAAAAACATTTTTGGCGCGGTTAATTCTGTCTAAGGTTTCATTAGCAATTGTATCGATGAGTTCTACAGACTTGCAAGAATCAATAGAAGAAATTTTATCATTTAGCTCAATCAGTTTATTGTTAAATTCTGCTATCTGCTGTTGTATATCTGCTTTGAATTCCATTAGAATATCTTTCAGCTGCGCGATGTTACCTAGGTTTTGGCTGCAGGTATTACAAACAATGCTAAGTCCTCGAATTTTGTGACGGGTGACGCGGTCTTCGGCAGACAGCTCGGTACAACTCAAATGTATCGAGCGTTTACAGCCATCGCACTGGATTTTACTGCTACGCTCGGCTATCGTTTTAAGACAGTTCGCGCATGTGGGACTCATGGTTTAGCTTTTTGTATGTACTGATATATGTTGATAGACCCAAGGCAAGGATTGACAAATAATAGTTACTCACGATTAATCACTATTCTGCAGTGAAGATCAGCAAAATAAGTAGCACACTCACTTGTATAACACTAGATTCATCTATCAAATAAATTTTATGAATTTTATTAGAGTATTACTATTTAAAAACTTTGTTTAAAGTGCGAGCAAAACTAACGCTGTACGTATGCTGTACTCAAAACTGTATCCAAAACCCTTATAAAAATCATTTTAAGTTTTATAGACTTTACGGTAATAGTGTTTCTACTCTAGAGAGATCGAGAATGATTGACCGGATTCTGAACGTACCCTGTCTCAATTGCTATCAAAACTGATTTCCGTTTGCTAAAATTACTTTTTTTTCCGTGCAATTTCATGGTGTTCTGTGGCGATTTCACAATTTGACGTTCTGTTCATTGGCGCACGGATTTTTTGGCTTGATTATTATTTTGTAGATTTTGTTGTTACCTGATATATTTTGCGACATTATAAAACAGTATTTTTCAATACTACAGTTAGAGTAGGTGGATATTATACGTGAGTAATTAATTTATTGCGTATGTTGTTCTCTAACCTAATCGGTTTTTTAATTTAGGTTAACATGGCATTTTCATTAGAACATGATAAATTTCTTCTGGAGGCCTATTTTCGTAGTGGACAAAACAATGGTAATGGTTGGAAATATTCGATGAATTCGTGTCATTTACAATTTCAAGAACAATTTCCAAATGATGAAATTGATTATGAAATTTTTTCGAGACACGTGAAGAGATTAGTGGAACGCTTCCATAACACTGGAAGTGTTTGTAGAGGAAAATCTCCAGGCAGAAAGTCTATTCTTACAGAGGAAGTCTTGGAAGATGTTGAAAACCGCTTACGAGCTAGTCCAACCAAATCACTACGTCGGTTATCTGCTCAAACAGGTACTTAATAACAAATATTTATTCTAAAATTTGTATCATTATTCCTAAATTGTTTATAGGAATATCATATGGATCATGCCATAAAGCAGTAAAGAAGTTGCATTTTCATCCTTATAAAGTTAGTGTTGTGCAGGAACTACTTCCGTTAGATTTTGGAAAACGTGTGCAATACTGTAATTGGTTTAACGAAAATCTGAATGACGACGATATTCTAGATCTAACATTTTTTTCTGATGAAGCGTGGTTTCATTTAAGTGGGTACGTAAACTCCCAAAATTATCGCTCTTGGAACACAGAAAACCCTAATATTTTGCGTGAAACAACTCTGCACCCTATTAAACTTGGTGTTTGGGTAGCTATGTCACGTAGAAGAATAATCGGACCATATTTTTTCCGTGAAAATGTAACTGGGCAGGTATATCGGCAGCAAATATTGTTACCATTTTTTGAGGAACTTCACGACGATGAAATCCATCATGGATACTTTCAGCAAGATGGCGCAACAGCTCACACCTCTAACGAAACTTTAGAGTTGATTAGAGAGTATTATGATGATCGAATAATTCATCATCTTCATCTTCATCATCTAGTGGTTGGTCCTTTAAAAGTCCCATAGCACTGCGGCCTAATTAGGCTATTGTGCGTCCCACTACTAGTCCTATTCAGCAAGTAGATTTGTCCTTTTTACAAAGTCCAAAAGCTTCCTTGCTGACAATCGAATAATTAGTCAAGATAGATGGCCACCACGTTCTCCTGACCTTACACCCCTAGACTATTATTTATTTGATTTTTTAAAAAATTCAGTATTTGCTCAACGGTTACACACGATTGAAGAACTTTTACAAGAGGCAATTACAAACGAAATTAGGGGTATTACACAAAATGTTTTACAGAATCTATTTAATAATATGAAAAGAAGAATTAATACCTGCTTGAACAACAATGGACATCATATTGAACATTTATTGTAAAAATATAGATATTTTTATGAATTTTATGTAATTTTAAGGTAAAATATTCAATAAAATGTGAAAAAATTCCAATTACTCTGTTATTACATATTGCATGTAACTGTTGTTTATTGCTCTCGGTCATACAGACAATCCTACCATCTAACATAATCAAGCACTTCCAACTGCTTGCATTTGCTTGAAGCAAATTTTTTTAAGACACNGTTTTCCAGAGGCTGTTGTCTTGTGGATCCAGCGACTCCAGGTGCCTAGCCCAGTTATCCTGGGCCAGTTCATCCAGAGCCGCCTTCACCCGTCTGTTAAGTACGTTTAAGTCATGTCTGTGTCGGGGGAGGCGGGTGCGGGTGGCAAGCCGTTTCGCACGTCGTCTGTCACGTATTAAGTTTTTTATGTCATCGGGGAGGGTGCCCCGGGGGTTTGTCAGTCGGGGGACAATGGTCTCCGTCGTAGTCTGAGTCAGGGCATTTTTAATGTCAGTCTCAAGGGAGAGGATTGCCGCCTCCAGGTAGCAACAAACCGTTTGCTACAACCGGCACTTTGATCCATTTTAATTATTATTCCTACGTTTTAAAACGTCCCGATTGTATTCTTTTAATTTATAAATTTACTATAGTCACGGAATATGCAAACCCTCGCGCGCGCTTCTAGGCTTATAGTTTGACGTTTCTAACTACGGCCACAGAATATAAACACTTCTGTGCTACGGCTAACTCGAATTCTACGTACGTCCGTTTAGACCCACTAAAAAAAGCATTTCCCTATCTGTAATAAGTGCGATAGGAAATAAATCGCGTTCAGTGTAACTCAGTCTATGACTGTTATAGATCCTATCGATGTGCAAAGAGAGCGGTACATCATTTAACATAAGCAAATAATATTGAACCCTTATAAAAATCATTTTAAGTTTTATAGACTTTACGGTAATAGTGTTTCTATATTATGTCTTAGTCACTCTCTATAATTTCGACCGCAGAGTATAGATAAAACTGAATGGGGTTTAGTAGAAACTAGAAAGGAATTTAAAACTTGAAAAATTAAATATAATTGACTACAGTAGTTCAAATCAATAATATTTGAATACAGAATATCTACTGCTCGATCAGTAACAAAAGATGAATTCTTTCGTTCACGACGTTTAGTATTTATCCTGAAATCAGAACAGTTGATTGGTTGAATTTAAAAAATTATTGGAGTTTTTTAAATTCAGCCAATCATCTACTTTCATTTCAGAATGAATTCTGAAGATCGTTAACGAAAGAATATAGCCACAGACTTCTAAGTTTAGAAGTCTGTGAATATAGCTATCATATGTTCGTGTTGTTCTGCTGAGTTAAACTACTATCTTCACTCCTAATATACACAAGACGAATGTCGTAAGAGGAAAGAAGAAGAAGAAGTGCTAACTTCATTCTCCTCGTGTGTGGTGGTTGTCAATGTCATTGTGCTGTCAGTTTATCAATACAAAAATACAAATAGAATTTTGGTTTTGTTTTTAATGTTGTCTGGAAAGACGTTTATATTTCACCATGGGTGACAAGGAAGGACCCATCTTGTACGTTATTGTTGTTGGTTTTCATCATAAAAAAGGATGTCAGGTAATTAACATGATTTTTTTATAAACAAAACTTGAAAACGTTTCCTGCTGTAGGTGGAATTCTCGTATCCAGAACTTGTGCCAGGTCACCCAAACGAATGCCCACCTGGATGGAAATACTTACCAACTCTGGCTCTGCCAGATGGATCCCATAATTATGATAATGACACAGTTTTCTTTCATTTACCAAGTTCAGCTAAGCCGCAACAAACTATTTATGGTATATCATGCTTCCGCCAAATTCCAGTAGAGGTAAATCATATTTAAAAATCCGTACCAACTTATTTTTAATAACTGTTTCCATCTAGAAAATAAAAAATCGTACCTCGGATATTACGAGAGGTACCGTGCAGAAATCAGTTTGTGTACTAAGCAAAATTCCTTTGTACGGACAAATACAGGTTAAAATGTGTCTTATAACTCACGCTTACTTCGATGAAGGTGATTTTAGCAAGGTTTCTATATTAGAGGACACCTATCATCATCTGAATGCTGTTATGATGCAAAATGATACCCTACATCAAACTTTTGTTGGTAAGTAATAACTTTTTTTATTCTGTTATCCCAAAAATGTTTTATTGAAATTGATGGAATATTTACCTTTTTCAATATTTGATGAACACAATATTCTTATCATTATTAGTCATTCATTCAACAAATCTTTCATGATGAATAAGTAATTTGATATCATTTTGTTTTGAAAAATATGTTTATATTACTCAGTAGTAACCAGAAGACTACAAGCATTTTAATATGTCTTTCTTTAAATCTCCCTTAGGCCATAGATTTTTGTACTGTTTTTTAGGACTTTCGGCAAGAGACTTTATCTTACAATGGAAACATAAAGCAGTGTTACTATTTAAATTATTACTTCTAGAGAAAAGGGTTGTTTTTTACAAGTCCCCAGTACATCCACTATGTTCTACAATATTATCGCTCATATCTCTGTTTCCCGAAATGATAGAAGTTGGTTTAAATCAGTCTGCTTGCATAAGGTACGTACTTTATACATATTATTTTCGCCTATAAACTAAACATATTTTCAGGTTGTCACGACCTATGTCACCAATGCCAGAATATTCTGATGACGATTTAAGCCCCATAGAGAATAAACTCACAAATGGAGACTTTGAAACTAAAAAAATTAGAGAAGAGAAAGGTATGACCGACAGTGAACAAACGGAAGAAACGAAAGAAAAATCGGTCAAAAAGGAGGATCGCACTAATACTGATCAAACCACTGACCCTGCTTTTATAAATGGAAATTGTACTGAAGTTGGGGTGGAATTAACTGAATCAGGAAACATAGAAGCTAAAGAGGGTAGTCCAGAAAATGGAATTGCAAGTATTGGAGAAAAAAGTAACAGTCTGCACAGGGAAACAAGTTCTGATACAATATCGGACACTGTTCAAAACAATATGACGTACCTGGCACATCTGAGCACACAAACTTGCGGTTTCCCCTTAGCTATTTTCACCAAAGGTTCTTTATGTCTGCCTTATCTCTCCCTGCCATACTTAGACCTTCTATCTGACGTAAACGTACGTAGCTACGTTGTTGGTGCTACCAACATTCTTTTCAAACAAAAGCGGCAATTGTATGACATACTAGTCGACATCGACAGTAACAGGATAGAATGCCAAGATATTAATCTGAGGAAGAATTTACATTTGACGACAGAAGATCTGAGATTTGCTGATTATGTGGTGAAGCACGTGTCGGAAGAGCGTCACGAAGTTTTTCTGGATGGTGTGAGATGGGAAGGCGGAGACGAGTGGATTAGGACGCAGTTTAGGATTTATTTGTTGTGTTTGCTGAGAACGTCAATGTTGCCAGGTTAGTGGACTTTTATGCAAGTTTTACTCTTTGTATTTGCAAGAAAAGAAAGATTTCTGCATTACTTAATTGCGGGGCAATATCTCAAATCCATCCTTTTAGATGGCTCGAGAGAGATAGACAACTTCAATGCCAACTTTATAACGGCCTGGAGAGACACACACAACTATAAAATTTGGTTAAGTGGGGTCAACCCTGGGATTTTGGATGTCCATCCTGGTCATCCGTTTGCTGGACAGCTCTCTGTTGCTGATATGAGATTGAGATTGTCACAGTAAGTAACAATGCTACATGTACTTACGAGACAATTGAATTAATTTTTATGTATCTTACTGTGTAAGATACATAAAAATTGTTGTTGGTGTTCTCAAAGTTGAGGATGTAGAACTCATAAAAATAGTTTTTTTTTTTAATACAGTATAGTCTTGCTTAGCAAAGCACAAATCCACTAGATGCAGTGGAATAAAATTTCTCTGTCCATGAACGACTTTACAAGCATTTTCTATTTATTGTGAAAATTCTACCATGTTATTCACTTCTGCATTGAGATAAACTAAGTTTTTTTTTCAAAGAATAATGTATTTGGGTCTGGGGAGCGTACAAGCCAAGAAATTTGTCTATAAGGTCTCGAACTGTTCCATCTTATAGAAACCACTTTGTCTATCTTACAGGTGATCAAACTTGCTCTAAGCTGCAAGGGTGCGCTGCCGCGCAATAATTTTTCGAAAGTTGAATAACCGTTTTGGAATTCTGCACACAATGGACTTGTTCACCATTTTTTTAAATTTTATTTTATAAAAGAATTGCATCTAAAAATGGCAAACATCCAAATTTCACTAAAAAAAAAGTAAAATTTAGAGGGTCAAAAAATGTTTGAACATTTTTGCTTCCATATACTTTTGTACCGCGTAGTCTGCGAAAAAATTAGAGGGAACAATGCAGGTGATACAGCTTCAAGTAGTTCAGGCTAAGTGATTTGTAGAAAATATTAAATCATTCTCACTTGCCATTCGAAAACGACAAAAGAATGTTAATCCTGATAAGTAATTATGAATTATTAATTATTAATATCTTTATTTTCCAACTTTTTGTAAAATTATGCGTTTTTACGAATTTCACATCCTGTTGCAAAAACTACTACAACTTTGAAAACATCCTGTACTTTATCTTTAAGCACGATGCAGAATACAGAGAGTGGCAGAAAAATTAATCAAGCCATGGCATCTACTGGAAAAGCAGTTGTTACTACAAGTAAAGCAGTTGGTAAGTAATTTTAGCGATCACACAAACATTTTTTAATGTATAAAGTGAGAAAAAATACCCCTTTCTAAATTTAGAAATAGAATTAGAATATCCAAGACTTTTAAAGGTCATAAGAGATCAGTAAATTATTATTATCTATTGATTTTGTAACATTCTATATTTGTTTTAGGACCGCTAAATTATATTGGACGATTAGTTCAGTGACCTTTAAATATTTGCATGAGTAGGTCACTCTTAAAGGTGGTTTTTTAAAATAGAGTCCAAATTAAGCTTATACCTGTATAAGCTACCCTATACCTATATCCTGATACAACATGTGAAAATGTTAGATCCCACTGCAACTTTGTAGTTTTTAGAGATATTGGCAAATAAACTATGATTTATTCACCAATTTTTCAAGAATATATTTCTTTCTTCGGAGCTGAGAAAAATGACATGCAGTAGAATCTCATTAATCCGACCTCAAATGGTGCAACCCCCCCGCTTGTCTGATTTCCAGTGTTTAGTTATCTACCTGCAAGGGTCGCCGCTAGTCAAGTCTTGACATGACTGATCATTCACATTATTTCTTTCATGTTCTGTTATCGTTTTAACATGGAACAATATATCAGACAGTACAGTACCGTAAAGCTCGGTTACAACATACACGCTTATTACGTACTTATGGTTATAACATACCGAATAAACAAGTCCCGGCATTATTATAGGGCCTTCAATGGTTAATTATTTTCTTAAAACGTACTCCGTTATTATGTACTTCTGATATAAAATACCAAAAAACTTGGTCGCAGCATCTAAAAATTTCATTATAACGTACTTTTTATACATAAATTTATTTCAACAGGTACGGTAAAACCTTAGGGCACGTGTAGCACAGCGATGACATCTAAATCAAAGGCGTCATCTTTGATCAGACCGATTTATAAGTTTTCGCCGACTAGCTGCCCGGTACTGTCTATGTACCTACTTAAGATTTTTTATCTCCATATTGATACAATGCAGTTATCTAAAGTTATTTTAACCATTCTTTATTCAGTTTCCTTGTTGACGTCGTACAGTGTGTATCTAAGAGTAAGCGAATTTTTGAATACTGTTAAGTATGGATGATTCAACCCAAGCTGGTCCTAATAAAATGGCTCGGAAGGCCTTAACAATAAATGAAAAAATTTCTATAATTCAAGAAATAGAAAGAGGTGTTAAACAAGCTGACATCTACAAATCTAGATATATGAAAAAAACAACAGTGTCCACGATATTGAAAAACAAACATAAAATATTCGATTCCCCCGGAATTTCTAAACAAAGTAAAAGAATTCGCAAACCTGTCCACAAAAACATCAATGAGGCATTACTTCTGTGGTTTACATATCAAAGAAGCTTGAATACTATAATAAGTGGGCCCATTCTTCAGGCAAAGGTCCAAGAGTTTGCAACGTTACTTAATGCTGATGGATTTTCTTATGATTCGGGTTGGTTACATAGGTTCAAAAAGCGGCACAATATAAGTTCCAGTAAAATCCATGGGGAAGCTGCAAGAGTGAACATGGAAAATGCGTTGGATCTGATTAAATCGACATTAGTTCCACTACTTATGAACTACGGCAAGGGTGATGTTTTTAATGCTGATGAACTTGCTCTTCTTTATAAAATTGCTCCAGATAGTACAATGAGCTTTAAAGGTCAAAAATGTGTTGGAGGAAAACTTTCTAAGGAAGAATAACGGTTCTTGTATGCGCAAGTATTATCGGGACAGAAAAACGTAAAGTCTTAGTTATTGACTGTAAAAAAATTGCCGGTTAATTATACGGCAAACAAGCGCACATCGATGACTGCAAATATTTTTCAAAGTGAGCTAAGATCTTGGAACAAACAATTGGTAAAAGAAAACAGGCGGATATTATTGCTTGTTGATAAATTGTCCTGCTCATCCTCATGTTTCCAATTTTACCAATATTGAAATGGCATTTTTTCCCACCAAATTTTACATCTGTCCAGCAATGGATCAAGGTGTTATCCATAGTTTGAAAGTTCATTATCGACAACTGCTTATGACCAGTAATCTTAAATACATCGAAAATAGCACACCATGCTTGATGCTATCGAAATGGTTGCGAAAGCGTGGCAAGAGGTTGCCCAAAAAACAATTGAGAATTGTTTCAAACATACGTGGCCCTTCCTTTGCGAGTTCGATGAGGGCGATGACTTACCTCTTAGGCTTATTAAACAAGCTGCTAATGAAGATGATGATAACTTACCTTTAAGTATGTGGTTAAATAAAAATAATTTTAACTTAAAAAAATTAAATCCAACTGTGCTCGATACGTTGACGTGGATAAAGAGCTTGTTACAACAAATTTACCTACAGCCCTGGATATTGTTGGTCAGATTAACGAAGATAAGCAGGTTGATAGTGGAGAAGAAAATGAAGAAGAACCTGAAGAAGAAACGCTTGCAACGTTTAATGACACAATTAGAAAAATAAAAAATGTAAAACGAGTAAAATTAATACTGAAGATCGTATTTTAAGCGCATCGCTGTAAGTAGAAATGTATTTAGAGCAACAGATCCTTATAAATCGCAAAAAACGAACTCGTATAACAGACTTTTTTAGAAAGTAGTTTTAGATATTTTATTATACATACATACCTATTTTGTGATGCGAATAAAAAGTGTATTTTTAGTTTTGCTTTTAAGTTTTAAGAACAAAATCCATGTATATTGTTATTCTATTGCTGTTTTTGTTAAACATATGTATGTTTGTATTTTTGTTAAAAATTAATAAAACTTAATAATTTTTGTAAAATGTACTTCTGATATAACGTACGGATTTTTTAAGTCCCCGCCGGTACGTTATAACCGAGCTTTACTGTATTTCCAATTGAAAGTTAAAGTTGTATGTACATATTTATGATTTTAAGGGTCAATAAAAGTGTTCGTCTGATAATCCGACCTTTTTTGTGTTCCGATCATGCTCCCGGTCCCGTAGAGGACAGATTAGCAAGGTTCTACTGTAATAAAGAGTAAAGCTTAATGACAGAGCTTTGATATGAATATAGTTACAGAAGTGTCCGATAAGATATAGCATAAGTATCGCCGTCTGTTGTAAATCCCTAAAAATTTATTCAGTCCTAGCAAAAAAAGTTCTCCATTTTTAAGATATTGTAGTGTTACACACTGTATATACACAATTCCAATAGTAATAATTGGTAAATACTCAATAAACAAAACCGATCTTACTTAATTCTTTAGGTGGAGCATTTTCTCAGGCCAAGGGAGCTTTCTCCAGTTGGTGGAGCAACTTCCTGGTTAGTCCGGAGCCAGGTCAGAAAGCCCCGGAATCTCCACCCATCGATGCAGCTTGTGTTGAAGAGGCCAACATCGATCCAATTGACAATCTCACCGACATTCCCAAAAGTATTAATAGCGATAAGGACAAGGAGAATTTGAGCAATGGTAATGTGATCGAAGGCAAAGAGATATGCGAAGTTAATGGATTGGATCTTCAAAACCACCAACCCGGAGAAGTACACACTGTTTAAATTAAGTATTAAATTAGAGTTGATTGTTGACATTAAGTATTTTTCGCAGGCGGTCAAGTAGTGAAGGCGTTTGGCAGCTCGAATTTATGTTTCTAGGTGTATTCTTTATGCCCTTTATAGTGCCGGAAGAAAATATTTATTTTGGTAGCGTTGAAATGGAGGCAAGTATTCTTTACTGCTGCCGAGATAAGTGACTTAAATGCACAAACAAATATAGAGATTACATAGGAAAAATCGAAGAAAGCTGAGACTTTATTATTTATTTTTAATTCGTGGTTTTGTTACATTTTTGTCAAAATGTTTATGTCCAATATTTTTTAATGAAAAATTATTTGTTTTTATTATTTTTTATTACTGTTTTATACAATTCTTTTATTGGGTAAAATCAAATTAATTAATTGCAGTTGTGCATTATGAAAAAATATACAAAGTTTAATTATTAAATTTGTCACATTTTAGAATGGATTTGTAAAGAATTCAGGTAAAGTTCCTGACAATACCATAATTGTGCCAAGGTATTTCAATTTTTTTTTTTTACTGAATTGGCTGTTGTGATCATTAAATAATGTAATAATGAAATTAATTTATAGTGTCTTGATAAAAATTAAAATTAGAAGCTAAATAACAATCAATCAAAAACAGCACATTGTTTTATTAAAAAATCTTTTGCAATGAGATTGCACTTATTAAAATAGCTACATTAGGCTAATTAATTAAAAAAACGTCGTCGTCGTGAAATACCATTCTATTTATAAGTGAGAGATTATATTTACTTATTTGAAATTTTTTATTTAGTTTTTAATGTCGGTATTCTTTCCCAGGTACTTGCCAAATATCTTTTTTGCCTGTTACTACTAAAACGACTTACGTTATTAATCTAGGTAATATTTATATCCTGAAATGTTTTGTCTGTGTTACTAGGTAATAATTATGCTTTGATTAGCGAAATTTTAGAAAACATTATTTCTTCCTTGCCTCGGCATACCTGTTGGCCCTACAGTTTCAAAATGTGATTTTTACACATGATACAATTTAAAATTTATAAATATACAGGGTGTTCAGGAAAATTATGACCCTTAACTGAAATTTTCAGAATTACAAAACATTTCTCACTGAAAACCCTGTTTAATCAAGGTATAATCGCTCATAGTGTATAACACGTACTTATTAGAATAATTGATAATTTATAGTAGTTTACATGTTAATTTTTTTTTTTACGTAATCATAACGTACTTAAATATCTTAATCAAAAATGTATATAATATATACAGGGTGATTTGTCTCCGTTTTAAGCGAATAGTTTTTATAACATGAGCTCAAAACTAGTAGAAATGGAGGTGTTACAAATACAATTTAAACATTTACTTTTAATTAATTTTAAAAGTGGAGCATGACGAAACACTCTGTATATCCAAAATGGATATTTTAAACTCGATAATTATTGTAAATTTATTTACCAATAAACGTTTTTGTTAGATGTCTTGACGAAAATTTTTAACTCCCTAAAATGCTTTCTTCAACGTGAAAACGTAAAAACTATGAACGCTACAAAATTTTACCAAGAGCACGAAAATCTCGAAAAAGGACTGATGTATCAATAAAAAAAAAATTAATTGATTCCGGTGATCAAATAAAAAGTTCTGGTAATTCTTGTATCAAATATTTACCACTTGCCCGAGGCGGATGGACTCGGTTGCATCATCAAAACGTGAGTCTTATATAGAAACGAGTCCATCCTATCATTCTCCAGATATTACAAAAAATAATTTTTTTCAAGAACCTGACAATAGCAGAGGAGCCAGACATTTTTTCTTAATGGAAGTTAGATCAGATCGTCTTCTTTTGAGCCAAAGAATGTTGCAGTACCATTTTGATCATGTGCTTATGGGACACCCTGTATATCTCTAAATCTCGTTTTGGAAGTAAATGAAATATAAGTGCTGATAATCGTTCACATCCGTATCTTATATTTTTTGTTAAAAAATAAACTTACATCGGAACAATAAAAAATAAATAAATGAGAAAAGCTGAATTTTTGGCTAACAGAAAGAGAAAAATCATTGCACGGGTTTCACAAGATCGCTTTGGTTTTTCATATAAGAAAAGAAAAGCAATAATCTGCTTTCTCCTATGCTACAGTGTTCTGAACTATTATATAATTCATGCATAAATAAAAGAGATGGTCGCTAGCAACCAAAACATTCGAAACCAATATTTTCAATACAGATATGTACATGGCAAACCACCGCAACATTCATAGCCACCCTACGAAGAAAAGATGGATCCAAACTATACAAAAATTCTCCGATGATTCGAATTCGTCACTCGAGGTTAGTCTTCTATTATATGTTTTGTGATTGGTAGAAACTAGGACAGAGATTGCATCATGGGCAACCTAGCTGACGAGCACTTTGAACACCACAAGACATCTGAGGATGGTAATGACGATCGAGATTTTCCACTTGACCACCGATGCGATGAAATTTCGCTGACACGCCGACCTTTCGAAATTTTCGCAATACGGATCCATCCCAAAATCCACCCCACGACAGGCTTCAGGGTCTGTATTAATCCTGTACAGTTTCAGATCACTAGCTACCACGACATAGCCAGACCAGGCAGAAGTGCCAAGAAGGCCTATAAAAATTGAATAAAACTTACCTACATACTGCTATTTCTTGAGTCATTATTTCTAAATAAAAACAAAAAATACACCCACACACTCGACTCGACAGCTAACCGCTGAAATGCAAGCTTCCAAAGCTCACGTACCGGCGCTATACTTCTCTAATCTAGGGTCCGTACATATTGCAACATTAGTGAATAAGGACAGTGATTTTCAGACACAACTTAGGGTATCAGACCCGAACCAAGAGCTATACAGGGTGGTACAAAAACCCAAACCAAACATTTGGAAAATTAGAAAACCAATTCCGTGTCCTAAATTGAGAAACCAATTCAGTGTAGTGCTCCAATAGGTCGCAATAACATGTCTCGTGGAATCTGAGTTCTTCGAACTCAAAACGATGGCGGGGGATAGAAAGTCTCACTTCCTCTTGTTGATGGCTGTATGTCAAGAACGAGGGAANAAAAAAAATTAAAAATATCACCAAAATTCGATTCAAATTACATTATAAGATACACTCTTAAGAGGGCTCTATAGCAAATAGCCAACCACATTTTTATGTATCAGACCCGAACCAAGAGCTATACAGGGTGGTACAAAAACCCAAACCAAACATTTGGAAAATTAGAAAACCAATTCCAAGTGTCCTAAATTGGGAAACCAATTCAGTGGAGTGCTCCAATAGGTCGCAATAACACATCTCGTGGAATCCGAGTTCTTCGAACTCAAAACAATGGCGGGGGATAGGAAGTCTCACTTCCCCTTGTTGATGGCTGTACGTCAAGAGCGAGGGAAACGAGATGCCAGGTAACTACTCTGAGCAGGCGTTTACCGCACTCACGCCGGAGGTGAAGAGAGACCCTGAACACTACGATCCCACCAATCTATCATGCGGGTCTACCCCTTGATGATGCTCAGGGGAGAGTCTGATGGTCTCACGAGCCGGAAGCAAACCAGAATGAGGCGCACTCGCGTCGTGGCGCCCAACGTGGGACCACCACCGTGGGTCGTCAGCCCACCTATCTTCTAGCGCAATCAGGGGCCTTAATTCTGGAGGAAACAAAGACCAGTCAAATTCCGCGACAAGATGATTAGGCCGTGTTGCTGGGTAACTTAATAATTTTTGGGTTACGATGAATAATATACTCCTTCCCAAACAAGTTTTCCTCAAAAAATTTGTGTTTTAAAATTTTTCCAAAACTCTGAAAAATGGTAATCACATTTAAATTTGTACTGAGTATTTGTATATACATATTATTAATTATTGTTATTATTTTAATTGTAGTACAAAAGTATTGTAAGTTCTCTGAAACGTTTATTTTTTTTTGTATATTTGTAATAGATTTTGAAAAATGTGTACCATATTACTATTTTTTAAGTTTATAGTCTGTCAAACGCCACATGGTGCTTTGTGTAAAAAAAAAGTACGACGGGATAAAGATGTTGTCGTCATACTAAAATACATTTGTAACTGAGAGGTAATATCCATTTAGTTATTTCATGTGTTTTTTAGTTTTCCCAGATACCCAAATATTTTTTTCTCTGTAACCACTTATGTTACTAGTCTAGGTAATATTTACGCGTTAGCTATCTTTTAGAAAACATTATTTCTTTTTGCTTTGATCCGACACTTTTATAACTGTGGATTACACGTAAACAATACAGAATTTATAAATATACAGGGTGTTCGGGCAAATTATAAGGACGAGTAAACAAAATTTTCGGAATTACAGAATATTTCTCCATGAAAACACCGTTTAATCAAGGTATGATTGTTCGTAATGCATAACATGTCATTTTTTAAAATATAACAGATTAATTAAGGAGTAACGCCACTTTAGAGGTTGGAAAAAGGGTGATTTTTGTGAATTTTCAAGGAAAAATCTATACAAGTGTCATATCTATAGGGTCAGGAACAAAAAGGCTTTTATTGAGCATGTTTTCAGGTATTTTGAATTTTTTCAAACGATTTGGACTCAAAGTGGCGGCTGTAGGTTGATTCAGTCATTCAAAGAAGATGAAAAATTTTGCATTAAATTGTTAATAACATTGAAAATTTTTAGTAAATTGAAAAACACCTAGGATGTTGCCCGATTTATATTATGAAGAACAGCACAAAAAAACCAAAAGGAGATGTGGAAAAAACTTAAAAGACACGGATAGCCACAAAAAAAAAAGTGGTTTCTCGAAAAATGATTAGTTTTTATTGCTATTCAGCATAAGAAGTTTGTTGTATTATACCTTCACTCAACGATACCTGTACCTTATAATTGGCCTCTTATATTGATATTTTCTTCATCCTCTTCTTTTCGGCATTCTCCGAGACTCAATCTGGCCTCTATAATAGCTATCGCAAGCATTCTCATGAGTTACAAGAGGCACTCTTGTAGCCTGTTGCGACCACCTCGAAAAAAGTTTTTTCCTGATTTTTCCCCCATCCAAAACTTTTTTCCTCTACTTTTCACATAATAAAAGCATTGTTTAAACCATTTATCCAAACATATACTTTTTCAAAATTTTAGAGTGGTTTTATGCCTTAAGCATTTTTTGCATTTTACCGATAGAAATTAAATAATTTTTACATTTTAAGAAATTTTCTTTTAATAAATTTTACAATTGCAGTATGACGAGAGGCTCTATATCAAAATACATATTTAGACACCATAATTACTATAAATTAACGTTTTTGTTAGAATGTCTGACGATGTTTTTTTTTTTATAAAATGTTTTATCCAGTTGAAGAATGTGAATTTTATCATAAATTTTAAACAAAAAATTAAACTTACCTTTTAGCTCTGTTTGGGACACTGGCAGATTGTGAGCAAAAAAACGTCGAATATAAATTAGTAGAACTTATATTTTTTTTATAGTAAAATCGAAGAAGAAATAAATTAACTTAATTTTGAAAACTTTACTGTGTAGTCATTTACACACTGTATGTACAACGGCAGAATAGTAATAGGTACCAAAAGAAAAACTGTGAACGATTGTATAAAATAAAGGTTTAGATACAGTACAATAAAACAATAATATAACGATACATTTTGTTGCATTCTAGAACATGACTTTTAACTACTCTTATCACAAAGTCCGTGGCAACGACGTGCCACATTTTTTTTACACAAACAGCACAGTATAAATAAGTAACATGTATTTATTAATTGCAAGTTTTTAATTATATGGACATGTTTGGCATGTATTGCAGCGCGACTTATTACAAGATATTTACATGATCCGTGCGACGCCAGCGGGCCACGCCGGGCTCGCTCTATCGTAACAACGTGTAATATACACTAGCATACTATACAGGAAAAACAACCGTCCGATGACGGGCTCGCAAGGCGTCGCATAAAAAACTAATAAACGGACTTGATCTTGTATCGCTTGAGACATTTCACGCTCATAACCTCGGATATATTCAAAATACCAAGCTTTCATCACTTATATACATATAATCTATCGTAGAGCTTAGAACCTAAGTGTTATGTTCATTTCTCGTTTTGAATACAGAGGTTTATGATGATTATGCATTACTACGACTTTTTATGTAAATTTACATGATTTCAAGGTAGAAAATAATAAAAAAGGGGCATGCAGGAGAAATACTGTCAGCTAGGTCTTCACATTATTTCATTTCGGAAAAAAAATTAAAAATATCACCAAAATTCGATTCAAATTACATTATAAGATACACTCTTAAGAGGGCTCTATAGCAAATAGCCAACCACATTTTTATACATTTTATGACATAGTTTGTCTAAATATGAATTAATGCACAAATAACAGACTTTCCCTCATTTTAACGCAAGTTTTCTATAAAATGGACTTAAATAACTTTTTGGTGTAAAGAAATTTGTAATTTACAATTCAAATTACAAATTTCTTGAAAACAAAAAGTAACTTTCAAACTAACTCCATTTTATAGAAAATCTGCGTTAGAATGGAGGAAAGTCTGTTATTTGTCCATTAATTCATATTTAGACAAATTGTGTACTAAAATCTATAAAAATGTATTACTGGTGGGCTATTTGCTATAGAGCCCTCTCAAGATTTAATTTTGTGTCAAAATCTATGTAAAAATACAAAATAGGTAGATAAAATTGTAATTTCACTAAACTTTCGAATGGCATTTTTTCTACTTTTCATATCAAATTGTAAATTTTACAATATTTCAAAACAATTTCATCTTTCCTTTGCAACGAAACTTTAAGCTGTATATCCTGCGATAATCACAATCTGTAAAAGTAAATGTAAATCGTAAACTTAAAATATAAATGATTGCGCAATAAAATAAATTAAAAAAAAACGCCATATTAAAAGTCCACTATACATTAATTTTAAATACAATTTATCATAAATTTTGATAATACTCACGAGTACTGATCATCTCCATCTTGACAAATTTTTAATACTCTTATCACAGAGTTGTAATTTTCTCGGCGCACTTTTAAAAAACGGTGTATATTTTCTCTTCACCCGTAAACATTTTTGGAAAATTAATTTATACAGTCGAAATGAAGTAATGCGTTCGTTTGGGAAAAAACCCTCCTCGGCAAAAATAAATAAAGTGGTTTCCTGTAACTGCAAAATCATAAACAGAAAATGCCTCAAAAGCCGCTGCGACTCGACGTCCGTCAGGTACGTAACTTCGAAAAAGCGCTCGGTAAATCGAGACTCTTTACCCGCAAGTACGTGACGAGCGTTAAAACTATGGAGCATTCCCTTCGAATTAACAGGCAAACATGAGTTTTTTTTTCTGTACACAATACAATCTATGTTATAATGAATAGTGAAGAGAAGGGGGAAGGGTAGCGAACCAAAACACACTATGGTACAAAGCAAGGTCACTTTCATAAAATAACTTATTAATGTTCTCTCTCTTTCTCTCTACATGTATATATATATATAGCATTATATATAAAAGGAAATGTACGACTATCAGTTTTGCACTTATTCTGAACTGGACTGCAGTTTTTGCGTTCTCCTCGTAAAACATGAGAACGGTATCTTTTTCAACGAAAAACGTAAACGTCGCCAAATTTTGGCGACTTTAAACCATATGTACATATTTTTCTTTCATTTTCAACAGCGAGTGTTCAATTTGAAGAACGGAAAAGTAGAGGCAGTCTCAAATTTTGCGACGAGAACCGCAAGACAAGGGAAGCGTTTAAGCGTCAAAGAGAAGATTGAAACTTTAGTCTGTGCACCACACCGGCGTCCCAACTTTAATCACAACGTTCTTCGACGTTTTCGACCAGAAGACCCTCACAAACACCTCGGAACAACCTCGCAATTGTCTCGGTTATCTCACTTAATTTATCTAACAGTGTATGAGTAGCGTTTTTCCCTTTTTTTTATGATTAATAGACATATTTAAATAACTTATGTAAACACAGCACTGCACTAAGATGATGACGAAGCGTTCATGGCCCCGAATATACCCGTCGAGAAGGACCCCGATTGCTGTTGTTGCTGCGCCTGCTGCTGCTGTTGTTGGTTCGATGTGAGCCGGGAGTGTTTAGGCATCGGGGGCTGTAGGTATTCGTGTCTGGCAAGGGACAGCACGTCGATGCGGTCCTCCTTCCTGTAGGCCAGGCAGCTCCTTATGAAGCTCTGCAAGAAGAGTAAATTTATTAATAGGAAATCAAAAATTATGAATTTATAGTTCTTATTTTAAATAAATATCACAAAAATCTAAAATATAAATTTCACATTTTTTTTTTGTAAAATTTACATTTGTAAACAGATCATTTCAAATTTACATTTACCAAAATGCAAATTTTGTATGTTTGAGAATTATTAAATTAGTTCATTCTTTTAAAAATTTTCATTACTATTAATCATAAAATGTAGCGTTTACATTAATAAATGTAAATTTTACAAATATAAGGCAAGGCAACTCTTATGAAGCTGCAAAAATTGCAAATTTCTTAATACAAATTACAAAAATAGTTTACAACTTCTAATCATAAAGAACTCAAGTGTTTTTGTATAAAAAAATATCGAAAGTAGATGTAAAATTTACATATACATACATTAAATGTAAATTTTGAGTGTATTATAAGTATTAAATTGGTTTATTATTTTGGAAATTTTCAATACTATTTATTACAAAAATGAGGAAATTACATTAATAAATGTAAATTATTCAAACATGTAAAATTACAAAAATTATACATTTCTTAATAAGTAAAAAGATGAATTTACAATTCCTAATTTTAAAAAAATTCAAATTTTTTATAATAAATATTGTACGTTCCAAAAATAAATTTCATATAACTGTAAAATTTACATTAGCAACAGAAATTTTACAAAAATGTATGTTAAATATTGAATTATATTAATTTTATATTTTTAGCACCGTTTGTTAAATAAAGTAAAATTTACATTGGTAAAAATTTTTTAGAAAAATGCAAAATAATGAATTTACAATGTCTAATTTTAAAAATTCCTTTTTAATAAACGGAATTACAAAAATAAATTTCTTACAAATGTAAAATTTACAAAAACGGAATGTTACATTTACATAGAAATGTAAATGGATATTATGTATTAAATTAGTCCAATCCTTTCAATATATGTAGTAGCACTGTTTGTTAAATTATGTGAAATTTACATTAGTAAATATAAATTGGACATATAAAATTTACATTGGTAAAATTTTTTTTATAAAAATGCAAAATAATAAATTTACATTTTCTAATTTTTAAAAAATTCTTTTTTAATACAGAATTACAAAAATAAATTTCTTACAAATGTAAAATTCACAAAAACGGAACTATACGTTTACATAAAAATGTAAATGGATATTATGTGTAAAATTAGTCCAATCCTCTCAATATTTTTAGTACTGTTTGTTAAATAATGTAAAATTTACAGTAGTATATATAAATTTTACATATAAAATTTACATTGGTAACATTTTTTTTATAAAAATGCAAAATGAATTTACAATTTTTAATTTTAAAAATCCATTTTTAATAAACAGAATTACAAATATAAATTTCTTACAAATGTAAAATTTACAAAAACGGAACGTTACATTTACATAAAAATGTAAATGGATATTATATATTAAATTAGTCCAATCCTTTCAATATTTTTAGCACTGTTTGTTAAATAATGTAAAATTTGCATTAGTAAATATAAATTTTACATATAAAATTTACATTGGTAATTTTTTTTTATAAAAATGTAAAATAATGAATTTACAATTTCTAATTTTAAAAATTCTTTTTTAATAAACACAGAATTACAAAAATAAATTTCTAACAAATGTAAAATTTACAAAAACGGAATGTTACATTTACATAAAAATGTAAACGGATATTATGTATTAAATTAATCCAATCCTTTCAATATTTTTATTACTGTTTCTTAAATAATGTAAAATTTACATTTCTTAGTAAACATCATAAAAATGTCAAAAATAAATTTTATACAAATGTCAAATTTACAATAGCAAACAGAAATTTAAAATTTACATTTACTTATGTAAATATAAATGGATATTAAATATCTAATTTGTCGAATTCTTTCAATATTTTCTTTACTACTGTTCCTTAAACAATTGACATTAGTAAATGTAAATTTTTAAATTATGTAAAATTTATTATAGTAAATGTAAATTTTACGGAAATATAAAAATTACAAAAGTAAACATAAAATCTTACCTTAGCTTCATTAGTAACTGCGGGTTTGTTAGCGAACTGAACCTCGGTTGCTTTTAAAATGGTATTCTCTTCTAAAATCGTCGCTTGAGACTGATTGTGCCCGAACGGCTTCTTGCCGTATAGACACTGATAAAATATTACACCTACACTCCAAACGTCCACCTTTGAAGATATCTTTGGAGGATGCTTACCAACTACGAAACACTCAGGGGGAAGATACCTACGGGATGCAACGTTAGAACCGTAAACTCCACCAAGTTCATCTACACTTACCAGTACGTGCCCGCGCCTTGCGACGTAAGGTCCATGCCATGATCGGGGTTGTAATTCTCCTCGTCCATGACCTTACTCAAACCGAAATCGGTGATTTTGATCTCGCCACAGACATTGCCCTCCGTGAGCAAAATGTTGCCGGGCTTTAGGTCGTAGTGAATCACGGGTGGCTTAATCTCATTCAGGTACTTTAGGGCCGACACAACCTGCATTATTATCGATCTCGCTTCCCTCTCCGGTATGGTTTTATGCTGAAAACGGAAAGATGTTAGTTCGGAGTCGGGATAAGCGTAACGTTCAACCTACCTGCTTCAGGTAAAAGTCAAGATCGTGACCATCACAGTATTCTAGAACGGTACAGAAAGAATTTGCGTCTATTTCAAATACATCATATAATTTAACTACTCGGGGGTGATCTAAAGCTTTGTGAATATTATACTCCCGTAACGCATGCCTGAAATCAAAAAAGCTTTTTAGTAAGTAAAATTACACTGGCTATATTACAATGTACAAATGTACAAATTTTTTCCCGTTTAGTTGGGTATTTTGCCACATATGAAAAGATTTTATTTCTATTAAGCAAGAAAATAGATAATAAATTTTTCAAATCTTAATTATCTTAGTTATTTGTTTCCTTTTTTTCAGTTTTTTTTCACAATCTTATAAAAAAGTTCCTTCCTTGAATCCTTTTTATAAACTGATTTAATTATTTGTTTTTTTTTTTTTCACTACTGTAAAATATCCAAATAAACAGAAATAAACTGTAATTATGTCACAAACAAATAACTGCAGACAGGATTATACAGTGTGTCTCAATTTATAGGTGTATTAGACATAAATAAAAACAAATGAACTTCAACCCCAGGGACACGTATTTTTAAAGTATAATTTGCTCAATATTGAACAGTTCTTAATATATTGTCATTTATTTCAATTAATCTTATAATACTTTCTGAATTATAGCCAAAAAAAGAGCAATTTTTACTTATTTATGTACGAATAATCCACCCTTTTTCTGCAAAACAATCTTTAATAATAAAAAAACATAGTGGGCCAAGTTAAGATGTAATACAATTTTTTAAAATTTTGTACCTAAAAAAATTGCAGCAACTTGGGATCTGAAATTTTGAGGAAGTTCGTTCTTAAATTTATTTATTATCGACTTAAATCAGGTCACACAGCATATCTTTTTATTTCCAATAGGGTCATTTACTTAAGTAGTAGTAGTAGTAGTAGTAATACTATTCTATACAAAATGTTATATAAACGTAAAATATTTACAAAGTAAAATCATTAAATAGCATAGTTACTTTTCTTCTTATGAATTGGAGAATTGATGACACACGGTATTATCAAATGTAATTAGAAATTTTCACTAAATAGAAAAATGGCTTATCCTGCTGTCTAAATGGCAGTACCAGCAACAGCCGATAGTAGTGGCTAGTCACTTAAGTGTAAATGTACAATACACTGGATTTAACTCTAAATTTTAAGCTGGAATAGTTTGTGTATCAGAACAAAACAAAAAAATAAATATTTTAAGCAAATTTTTAGAAACAAATAATGCATACAATATCGGACAAAATTAAAGCAAGTAAAATATTCAAGTAAATTCTATTCACTACGGTACAAATAAAATACACTGAACAGTGTATACCTCATTTCAAAATTATTGTATAGTTTGCGAGTATGGTGAAACACGTGCGAATTGGCACATGTGGTTTATGGAATACAAGATGTGCGACAGAATTAAAACGACTTATTTGGTTTCTCTTTGTTCAAGTGTTAATCAAATTAACACACATTATGTGAAATTAATGGTTTACGCATGCAAATTGTCGAAGCCTGTAAAGCTGTGCAATCGCAGATATTGGTAAAGGACCAATTTGGGTGGTTTTAAAAATAATTCAGAATTTTTGTCTTCACAGGAGTCAACAATTTAAAACAAAACTTTTGGAAAGGAAAAATGATAGATACAGAGGGATTGCAGAATTTAAATAATTAATCGGACTACACAGACGCACGCAAATTGTGCCGATATTTAAAATATGACGGTTTTTCAGGTTGATGATGTGACCTATGCACCTGGTTGCTGCCGTCAACTGAGAGCGACCAGGTATATAGGCCACAGCATCGATCCGAAAAAACGTCTTACTTTATTTAAACATCCGCTAAGCAAGGTTTTGGCCGAGTTAACGAGTTAAATTCAGCGTTTTTTGGAAGAGGCTGACCTCCTGGCGGAAAAGGCAACTAATAAACTCTTGTGCAGCAATATTTGACAAGGCACAAAGTCGTAGAGCTTCATCAGCCTCCATACAATCCCGACGTAGCTCCCTGTGACTTTTGACTGTTCCCAAGATTAAAAATGTCGCTCAAAGGATACCGATTTAACGACAAAGAAATAGTCGAAACTAATATGACAAACGCTCTAAAGCTGATACTAAATAAAAGTTCCAGGACTGCTTCCAAAAGTGAAAGGGCCGCTGAGAACATATTCTTCAATCAAATGGGGACCACTTGGAAGAATGCCACCAACCCGATGATGCAGAATAACACCAGCGGGGAAATATGAAGGAAGGTCGGATACTTTTGGAACAGACCTCGTATGTTTTATGTGACCAAGTCAGTCTCCAGATTTGAATCCCATAAAAAACCGTAGGGAGACGATAAAGAAAGTTTAGAAGAAATACTTAACCAACTATTTCACAAAATTCAAACTGTTTGGTTGTTTTATAGATAATGCAATTATTTGTAACCTTAATATCAAAACGCTACCAGTAAGTTATTCCTAATACACCTTACTAGACAAAATACTGATTTAATTATTTATTAAATTATTTCAATTTTTTTTTTGTTTTGTCGTCACCTTCTTGATTTTTTTTTGTTTTCAATTTTGTTGTTTTGTGTTTAATTTCATTATAGTAACACTAACAAAGCATTTAGTTGATGTACCGAGTTAATGGAAGTCACTCTAGTTTGTCCGATACTGTATAAAAAAAAAATTATGGGAAATGACCCTATTTAAAATATACATCTGACAGCTCTGCTTGAAATATTAAAATCGTTGCAATCATAAGAAAACGAGTAGTCTAAAAAGTGATATAAACACTGATTTTTACCACTCACTTTATATAGTTGGCCTTCTTGTCCTCCTTCCAGTCCTTGTTGAGTTGGTGCACCTTGCAAGCGACGTACCTCTGTTCCTTCAAATCGAAGGCCTTGTGCACCTCGCTAAAGCCCCCCTTGCCCAGCAACATTAACAACAAATATCTATCGTTGAGCACGGGATGGTTGTTGAACCTGGACTGATCCTCGTTGTGGATTCGTTTCAGTTCTCTGATGTGCAAGTTGCGCTCCCTCTCCAGCTTCTCCATCTCCAGTTGGAGGTCGGCGTCCTCCTTCTTGAGGGCGTTCTGCCTCAGTTTCAGTATTTCATCAGCCTCATAGTACTCTTGAAGTGTCAGGGAGCCGGGCACGGCGTCCGGCTTGAGAAAACCCGAATCGGTTCCGTTGTGCAGCGCGCTCGAATTGTTCCGTTTCCTGCCACTCTCGTTATTCGAAGGCCTTTTCTTAAGTAATAGCTTCTTTTGTCTGTCTATCTCTTCCCTCTCCGCTGTTATTTCTTCCTGCCGCCTACGCACAAAAAAGAATAGTTACAAAACGTTTTCGGGTTCAAAATGGTTTTTCTTTTTATTATTTTTGAGACCAGTTTTCCATTTCTCATTAAAATATCTATTAACTTTTATTTTTCAAATAAGAACAATCAGCTTTTTATTTTTTACGAGTAATTTGAGACCAAAAACATATTTTTATCTATTTTCTTTCGTTCTCTGCGAATTGTGAAAAAACGGGCGATTTTTGCGGTCACTCTTTGTGGGCAAGCAACAATTTTATTTCAATTTATCTGATGGAATTGCTTTTTTTTGTTCTAAAATGCATCTGCAATATATACCCAACTATGGGAGCCAAATCATTTTATATCTATTTCATTTCACTGAATTTTTAATTCGTAAATATATTTTATCGCTTCACCGAGTGCCAATAACTATTTCCTAAATAATTTTCATCGGGAAAATGCATTTATATCAATCGTCTGATAAAATTAACTTAACAAGTAATTATTTCTAGATTTATTCTAGATGGAAAAACTGGCCCTTATTACATATCAGTCCCGTCTTGAAACACATTTGACCATCATGGATGATCTGGATCAGGGGTATCATCATACTTGTACAGAAACCGGTATTATTTCTGTTTGTATGTCACTGAAACTTACCTTGCAAGTTCCTGAAAAGCGTGTCCGTCCGTCCAGTTCTCTTGGAAGGTAGCGCCCACCCTCTGCGTCACAAACTGCCCTAACCTTAACCTATTCTGCATGCACTTTTGCCTAGCCTCTTTCTTCTCTATCGAACTCTTCTCCTTGAGCAGCTTCTTCACTACCTCTATACACTTATTTACTTGTTGTTTGTGTTGGTCAATGGATTTCTGTTGGGTCGATATCTGGTGCCTTAACTCTTCGTTGGCCCGCGTTAATTCCTCTATCTTATTATTACGTACTTCTAGGTCAGAGGATGCTTGCGTTTCGAACTCCTGTATCCTGTGACACGTTAATTCAGTCTGAAATTTAAAAAAAAATGTAAAAAGTGGAATTATAACAATTACTGAATTATTACCTGTATTAATTTGTTAACCATAGCAGGAGGTGGCAACCGGGGTGGCTGTTGTTTATTATAAAAGTCGAAAGGAACAGTATTACACACCTGTGGGGACGACAACCCCACCTGTTGCGGTGACGGAGGTAACTGAAAAGAAGACAGCTGGGATCAATTATCACATTTTATCAACACACTCATGGACTACATTACAAAACAATATAAAAAAAATTACCACCCACATTCAAAAGCAATTCCTACTTTTGAATGTGGCATGTATGGATATTTACCATTGGATAAGGTTGTTGGGGTGATGGGCTCTTCGCCCCCCCGTGCCTGATGGGACTATGACTATTTGCAGAATGTTTGAAGTAGTCGTTGATCTTTTTATCCGAGGATTGGTTCCGGACTCCCTTGCCCGGTACACCTCCGCTATCCTCGGCTTTCCTCTTGCGTTTCCTTTCCGACGGGGTTCTGGGTATCTTCTCCGGAGTATTCGGGTCCACCTCTTTATCGCTGTGAGACGAACCTTCAGAAAATAATTTCATATTAGCAATTTACATCTAAGACTGGCTGAAAAAGGAAAATAATTTTTCTAAATGATTTGCTTCAACAGATTTTTGTTTCATAAAACCTTTTATAAAAATGTTGATCAGGCAGATACAAAGAGTTAATAATTGAATAAAAAATGAAGTATGAACTCATTTTAAAAGCAGTTAATGAATGTTTTTGGGAATGGAGTTAAGTACATTTATAATATGATTAAAATAATCACTGATCACTGAACACCAATCTGCTAGTCTGCCACATCATTAATGTTTTGGGTGCTAGTGTATAAAGAAAATCACAGAAAATAATGATAAGGTTAGTTAGTTTCTTATCTTTACTTCTGTTTTGGGATAATTAAATTGAGGTTATAAAATTTGACAAACGGTTCGATTTGAAAATAGAGATGGTTAACGGATAAATGAACGGTCACTTAAAAATCGGTAACTTACCGTAGAATGTAACCGGTTATTTTGGTCATTTATCATTATCAAATTTCAAAAATTATGTAAATTGATCTTTTGTTGTGGTTATTGTACATCATAATAAGTATAATAACAAATAACTACCCTCTCATTCTGGTTGTATGTCCTACATGCCAGATTTTTAGAATTTTTTGTGAGAAGGAAATTAAAGAAATATCGAATAATTTCAAATAATGGCAAACCAATCATAGTAGGCGCCTGTTTCGTCTGCCTTCGTTCGTTTCGTTGCACTCCTCGTAAACCAATAGCAAACAAGAAACAAATAACAAAAACAGTTTTTTTTTCGCGAGTGAACTGTGAAGTCGTATGTTGTAGTATGAGAGAATGAAGATATTTAAACTAACATATGATAACTAACAATAAGATCAAAAGAAAAATAGTAACTACAAGTCAGATATTCACCAATATTCAGTCGCGAAAAAAAGCCTATATAATGTCAATTATTCGGTTCTTTGGTTGGTCCTGTTTTGTGTTGTGAATTTACCACACGTACTTGTGAATTTAAAAATCTATTTATTTATTTAAAATATTAGTGTTTTAAACTTCAATTTTGTTAGCATTGTTAATAAGTGTTTTTAGTTTTTATCACAAACCTAGAAAAAGTACTTCAGTGCAAGTATCGAGTTGGTTATTTATAAGGTTATGTAGTATGCACGATATAAAAAGTGACAGAAGCAGGAGACATGGCATGGCCAGTAAGTACCTAATTTTGTTTTATTTTTTGCCTTTTCAATATTCCATAGTCAGTTAGATCACGTCGGATTAGCATGAGTGCTGCGATTTAGCAAACTAATATTTCAATGCAGCAATAATGGTTGAGTTTGAATATACTTTAAAAATATACCAATAATTAGCTGTATTACGGCGGCTATGGAAATAGCATAGGTGCTACGATTTAGCAGACAATGATCAAGCAGATGAAGTCGACAGATTTAATGTAAGATATACGTGGTGTACCTGTAACATGTAACCCTATTCATCATTTCAACTTATTCGTGATTGGAAATATTAATTCTAGGTCGCCCCACAGTTTCCTTCAAAAAACGCAAACAAAACTTTAGCGGACATTTAAGTTCTGCGATATGAATTAATTTTGTTCTATATTTGTACACAAGTCATGCGTATCTACCAACATAGTTAAGCGGGAGTTACTACAAAAACAAACAAGGTCCATTTCATTTTGTTGGTCATAGTTTTTATCGGTAAAATACTTCACCTTAATCTTAATCTTAATTCTAATATTTTTACTTGTTTATAATAATTTAGTCTTAACCTGATCTTAAAAATTGGCCATTCAAATGACATACCTACGTTTTTATAGACTAGCACACTGAAACTTCTTAAGGTTAAGACTAAGGGCTAAGATTTTATTATAAACTCACCAATTATGCTTCGCAGAGAGAGCATTTTGGCTTTGAAACAGTTATTTACTAATGTCAAAAGAAGTGAACGAAGTTGGAAGAATAACTTTTACTATACTTTTTAATTTCCCACCGCCTTGTATATTTTTGGATACTTAATTTTGGAACACCCTGTATAGTATACAACTGTATCTCCGATTCTAAAAACAATACCGACATGCTGTTATCACTGGCACTTTTGTTCACCTCAAATATCATCACACTCCATTTAAAATTTTCAAGAAAATGCGGAAAGTTCATAAAACAAAATATTTATTTATTAAGACATATCTGTCTGACAAGACCAAGTTAATCTTTATTTCACCAAATCGAAGTCGAAGTATTTTTTTGTTTTTTTTTTAACCCAACGTTTCTCTTTTCTCATTTAAAAAGTTACCATCAGAAAGAATATAACAAAAATAATGCATATTATGGTACCTTGCGGCAACATGAGGAACACAAAAACGATTTCCAAGTACGAGTATTCTCTATTCTACTTTACCGAGATTTTTTTAACAGTGCCCTGCAATGAACCATTCCGCTCGTGCTTTATTATTTGTACACCTAAAACAATATGCATCAATGTCGCCTACACCTACCCAAAACTCAGATGGTACGGTCCGCCACTGTAATCAGGTTAAAATATTTCAAGCCGAGATCAACATTTTTGACCTCGAAGTCTTGAGAATTCTTCGTCTTCATTGAACGTGGAACGAAATAATTGATATTTAGTGCACAGACTTTCACTCATTAAAACGCGAATAAAATTATTAACATCGCCATTTTTTTTGTATTCAAAATAATTTGTAACACGCGAAAGAATGGGGTTTAGTCGTTGCTTAATTCAAACATGATTTGTAATAATTGTGGATCTGGAGAACACAAAATGTCTCCTAGAATATATTCCAATGAATTCCTTTATCACGCAAAAACAATATTTTTTCAGTCAAATAACTTTTACAAGTATTGACTTTTAATAACAATAAACAGTTTACATAATGTTATTAACGATAATCAGGTGAATGCAGAAAAACTAAACGTTGTACGTTCTACAAAAACGTGGATATTAAAATTCGACATGGCAGCTTTCTCTTCAGCCAAGGCAATTAGTTTTATTGCACAAAACTATTGTTTAACTTGATTTAACGGCAAGGAAGAATTCTACGTACCTATACGGTTTTGATAAAAAATACTAAGTCTGTTTTTCCGTTGTCAAAAATTCTACGCTAAAATTAACGTTACTAATATAGACATAATAATAAGGACAATGAACAGTAAGTAGTATCGCATTACATATAAACATTCATGTGTGTGATATAATACTACGAGGGGCACCAGAAAAGTTCTCCCTAACAATGATACAAAAGATGATACGATTTTTTAGATAAAAGTTTTTAACAATTTCCTTCAATACATTTGCGCCACCTGCCCTGCAATGTTTACATCAGAAATAAATTCATCGTGTTAGCCTTCAAAACAGGTATCAATATCCGATAATCCAATCCAATATCCAATTGTGTGCAGTTATCGAGGAAAAATTTCTTGGTTTGCGTCACAAAGCAGCCAAAGATCAACCCTGCAACTGTAAGAGAAATTACAGTTGCAGGGTTGATCTTTGGCTGCTTTGTGACGCAAACCAAGACATTTTTCCGTTGAATTTTTTGTAGTTGATTTTTGTTGCCGTAACAAATTTCAAAGAAAACAAAGCAACTAGTATGTGTTGGGATGGTCTTGCTGCCGCAATCAAAAGTAGTCTACATTCTACAATTTGTAAGTTCATGCGATGCAGATTAAACATGAATCTCAAATTATTTCAAGTAAAAAGCCAGATGTGTACGAAGGCCTGTTGAGGCAACATGTCTCACTATTTTGTTAAAAGTTTACATTTTTAATTAGTAAACATACAGTCCATTTCATCGAGTTTGTTTTAGCTGCTTAGCGACCGAGTCTGGTACATACCTTGAAATTATAGGTTCTTCAATTGACTTCGGAAAAACTATACCAAAAAGGATATTTTTTTCTAGAATAGTCCCCCACCAATTTTCAGCCTACAGGTCCTCACCATTGTAAATCAGGCACTGCTTTAAACATCAGAATTCATTGCGTGTGAAGACCTACCATTATCTCGACCAAATTTTCTTTGAAAACACGATGGAACTTTGTCTCCATATACTTTTTACTGGATCTGTACTCGTTTTATGTAAAATTACATTCTGAGGTATAGTAAAAGCCGGCAAATTTAAATTCGTGTAAATTGTAAAGTTACGGAATATAAACGGTCTAGATAAATATAGATGCTTGACTGACTAATCCTTGGTTTGATTCAATGGGATTTTCGACTGGTCTTTACTTAATTATACATATATTGTTCAATTCGTAAATCTTGACTCACTACTCAACTCGATCCAATAACTTCCAGAACAAACCGAAACCTATGAGATAAACGTATTGGTACAGGTTGTTTCAAATTTTCCTCATATGTAAATATCTTTACCAAATATTTATAAATATGTAGGTATAGTATTTCTTAAACTTTATCGTATGGTCTAAGTAACAGATAATAGGTCTTGGCATCTGAAATAATACAGAAGAGGTTGATGAACTTATTTCGCCTCTCCTGAACGATTTACATGCTGTCGCTTATCTCCTTCTTGCGCCAGAGTCTACAATTGTATTTATTTAATAATAAAACACACGCGATTGAACATTTTTTATTCATAAACTGGCGAGAAATCAGAAAATTGGGAAATTTTTCAAGTGGAAGAGTTCCGAGTATCATTTCATACAGTATATCTACACATAGGCGTGGCTATAGCTTTCGCAATGGGGGGTCCAAAGATCCAAGAATAAACTTGTTTTTGCCCGGACTTCATGCAGAAAAAGCAGAATTCTAAACGCCAAGGGGTATGCTAAGGGGGAGGGGGTCCGGAACCCCTAAACCCACCCCTTATATACGTCCATATATCTCCATAATATTGTATGTGCTATTTCGAAATTAGTACAAACGTAGCAATTTCCGATTATACCGGTAACGCGTAAAATGTTTTGTGAATATTTTTCACTATCATAAAAAAATAAAGTACTAGTGTGTGATTATT